GTTTTGGGACCCAGGAGAGATGACCTGGTTGGGAAAAAGCAAAAACATCTGAGTTTAAAATCTCTATGTATGAGCTGGAGAGATGGCTCAGTGGTTAAGAGCACTGAGTGCACTTCCAGAGGTTCTGAGTTCAAATCCCAGCAACCACATGGTGGCTCATAACCATATGTAATGAGATCTGATGCCCTCTTCTGGTGTGTCTGAAGACAGCAACAGTGTATTCATATATAATAAATAAATAAATCTTTTAAAAAAATAAAATCTCTATGTAAGTTACCGAGCAGAGAGTCTGAGGAAGCTGCATCTGGTTCCCGCTCGATCTCACAGCCATGACAAGTACACTGAGCTCCACAGAGACAGCACTGGGGCAAACGAGAGCCAGACAGGCTCTGGGCAACTCTGCCTCACTGAGGAAAATCAACTAAACATGGGCAAAGGAGATCCTAAGAAGCCAAGAGGCAAAATGTCCTCATATGCATTTTGTGCAAACCTGCCGGGAGGAGCACAAGAAGAAGCACCCAGATGCTTCTGTCAACTTCTCAGAATTCTCCAAGAAGTGCTCAGAGAGGTGGAAGACTATGTCTGCTAAAGAAAAGGGGAGATTTGAAGATACGGCAAAGGCTGACAAGGCTCGTTATGAAAGAGAAATAAAAACCTACATCCTCCCCCACCCCCGCCAAAGGGGAACCAAAAAGAAGTTCAAGGACCCCAATGCACCCAAGAGGCCTCCTTCGGCCTTCCTCCTGTTTGTTCTGAGTAACACCAAAAATCAAAGGCGACTATCCTGGCTTATCCATTGGTGATGTTGCAAAGAAGCTAGGAGAGATGTGGGACAACACTGCAGCGGATGACAAGCAGCCCTACGAGAAGAAGGCTGCCGAGCTGAAGGATAAGTATGAGAAGGACATTGCTGCCTACAGAGCTAGAGGAAAACCTGATGCAGCGAAAAAGGGAGTAGTAAAGGCTAAAAAGAGCAAGAAAAGCAAGGAAGAGGAAGATGAGGAGGAGGATGAAGAGGATGAGGACAAGGAGGAAGATGAAGAAGAAAAGGAAGATGATGAATAAGTTGGTTCTAGTGCAGTTTTTTTTTCTTGTCTATAAAGCATTTAATCCCCCTGTACACAACTCATTCCTTTTAAAGAAAAAATTGGCCGGGCAGTGGTGGAGCATGCCTTTAATCCCAGCACTGGGGAGGCAGAGACAGGCAGATTTCTGAGTTCGAGGCCAGCCTGGTCTACAGAGTGAGTTCCAGGACAGCCAGGGCTACACAGAGAAACCCTGTCTCGAAAAACCAAAAAAAGAAAAAAGAAAGAAAGAAAGAAAGAAAGAAAGAAAGAAAGAAAGAAAGGTAAGACTGCGTAAGATTCGTTTCAAAACTGTAAAGTGTCTTTTTTTTTTTTTTTTGTATAGTTGACACACTACCGAATGTGTCTTTAGATAGCCCTGACCTGCGGTGCTTTCAATAGCCACTAACCTTGCCTGGTACAGTCTGGGGGTTGTAAATTGGCATGGAAACTTAAAGCAGGTTCTTGTGCACAGCATAAATTAGTTATATATGGGGACAGTAGTTTTGTTTTGTCTTTTTCATCTTCAGTTGTCTCTGATGCAGCTTATACAAAGATAATTGTTGTTCTGTTAACTGAATACCACTCTGTATTTTAAATAAAAAGTGAGGCTGTTGCTTCTAAG